ACACCCACTACTACGACAGCAAGAAGTACTTCACCACTTAATCAAGGAAATGACATCTCAACTGAGCATGTGACTAGAATAACAGCCTCCTCTGATGATTCACGAAGAAATTCGTATGATGTCGATATGCAAGATTTCGACCGGATGACTCTTTCGGCTGCTAAAGCTCTAAATTCAAAGCTGTGAGTGTATATGAAAAATGTTGGTTGTGTTCGATTTATGATACAATTTTCTTTTCCATAATATTTGTGTTAAGTGTTCATAAATTTAAGGTTTTCTGGAGTTTATTATCGCATTTTTTTTTAACATCGTGATTCACTTTAATATGTGTACTGTTTATTTATACCATTCGAACCTTTTAAATTATTTTCACGTAGGACCGAGTTGGATGATAATTTTACATTCAAGCGTAAGAATCAAGGACGACCATCAAGTAGTCATATATTTTCTCGGGCTGATTCTCCGATGAGAATGAGGTCCAATTTGGAAATAGGTCACATGTCGACAAGTCAACGAAAACATAATGATGAGGAATTTGACGGAGATGTTTCTGATTGGTCAATAGAAGGAACGGGTCGGAGGGTAGCATATGATGACTTTACGACAATAGGTACGCAGTATTTTTATCTAGATATCGGTTTCGCCGATGCTTTATGTTCCTCAAATATCAAGATATTACATCATGGAAATTCACTCAATTGTAATCCAAAAAAGATTGGATTCACGATTTTGCTAAGGAACGCTCACGCCAAAGAAGATTAAAACAAAAAAAAGGGTTAATAGGTCAATTGAAACAACATTTTGACGAGATGGAGGGCTGGATAGTTGTCTTTACTGTTGGTATGGTGTTGGTGTTTGACATGTATATTTGATATTTCATTTATTATTATGATTTGTTCTTAATTGGTTCATTTAATAGGCGCTGTCTCCGGAATTCTGGCAGGAGTAATAGACATAACGTCGAGTTGGTTAAGCGATTTGAAAGAAGGATACTGTGATACTGCATTTTATTTGAGTAGAAAAAATTGTTGTTGGGGTTATAATGGTATTATATTTTTAGAATTCATCAGCTGATAGTACTTTTAAAAAGAGATAATCAGTTGTGGACGCAAACTTTTTAGACGAACACGATGAATGTAAAGAGTGGATAACTTGGAGTGACGCTCTAGAGGCAAGATCACCTGGCGCGAAGTTTTGGACGAGTTATTTCTTTTATATAATATTTTCTGTAAGTTGATGACATTTATTAAACTTGACAGTTGCATACCGAGATCGTTTAACATTTCTGGGATTTATTTTACCGAAGACCGTTTTCGCCACAACCGCTGCGTACCTTGTAAAATCTTATTCACCATACGCGTCTGGCAGTGGTATTCCCGAGGTGAAAACTATTCTCAGCGGCTTTGTTATTCGAAAATTCTTAGGATGGTGGACTTTAATAATAAAGAGTATAGGAGTGGTAACTGTGATAAAATTATTTGAAGTTTTATTTTTTTTGTAAAGTTTTAATCCACTAACATTTTATTCTTCTTTTAAGTGTCTCATTTTTGCATCGAGCTTATGTTTAGGAAAGGAGGGTCCCCTTGTTCATTTAGCGTGTTGCTGTGGTAACATTATTCCCAGAGTTTTTTCCAAGTTCAGGTATAACGAAGGTATGCACCTTGCATGTTGAATGCATTATAAAAAGCACCACCCTTTTGATAATGATTTATTTTCACAATAACTGCAGCTAAGAAACGTGAAGTACTATCAGCGGCAGCAGCGGCAGGTGTATCCGTTGCTTTTGGTGCGCCGATCGGGGGAGTTTTATTCAGTTTGGAGGTATATTGATTTAAATATCCTAAGTTTTTTTTAAAAAAAGTTGCCAAAGTTAGAGATTAATGTACAAATCATTTAGGAAGCTTCATATTATTTTCCATTCAGAACTATGTGGCGAAGTTTTTTCTGCGCAATGGTCGCGGCTGTTTCACTTGCCGTACGTGTATATATTCATTGCTGATGGGAATATCGCTCCTCTTTCTGAGTTTTAATATCATCATTTTCTTTTTTTATTAGTTTATGAATCCATTCAGGACCAACAAACTCGTTCTCTTTCAGGTTGTCTACGACAGGGAATGGCACGCATTTGAGATGTTCTTTTTTGCACTATTAGGAGTAATTGGTGTATGTGTCTTTCAATGTGAATTTGTCTTATTTATATTTTACCTTCTTGAGAAAGTCAGATAACTAAATTTCTTGTTACCCAGGGCTTGTATGGAGCTTTGTTTATACGTATCAATTTGAAGATTGCCACAATCCGTCAGGAATCTTGGTTACGCTTTTTTGGGGTGTACGAAGTCATGGTAGTCACACTTATAACATCTATCATAAGCTACTGGAATATCTTCATGAGGTAACAAACATAGGATGTTTATTGAACTTCTGTCTTTCGATATTCGTCCAGGAACTTTTATTACCTATGCTTATACATTTTTACATTGTTGTAAAAAGCGTAAACCCTTCGGAGCTAGTTGCAAATCTCTTCCGCGAATGTGCTGATGATGATTATCATAATCTTTGCAAGTATGCATTTGGTAATCTATTTTTAAATTTTGTTAATTTACTTTATTAAAACTTGACTTTTGACTAACATTGTTAATAATATTCTTCAGATATGAGGGTTTTTTGAAATCAACTTTTTTGCTTTTAATTGCATCCGTTTTAAAATTCTTTATATCAGTTGTAACCTTTGGTTTAAGGGTTCCAGCTGGTGTATGGTTGCCTTCAATGGCAATAGGGGCGTGTTTTGGTAGGGCTGTTGGATTATTGGTTTACGCCTTGCATAGGTAGGTAGCTTATCATTATTTTATTTTTTTTCCTTATGGTGGCTGTTGTTGTCTATACTCTGCAAAATTTAACTCGTTGAATCTTTAAAGTACAGCCCCTGGATTATGGATTTTCTCATCATGTACTCCCGATACTCAATGCATTACACCAGGGATGTATGCTATGGTTGGAGCAGCGGCGACCTTTGGTGGAATTACTCGCATGACAGGTAATTTAGCATTTGAAAAAAATTGGTTTTTTAGTCATCTTTTTGTAGATTATCATAGATAAGAACCTGAACTCTTCATTATCTTAGTTTCGCTAGTTGTAATCATGTTTGAATTAACTGGTGCGCTCACCTACGTTCTTCCTATAATGGTAGCAGGTAAATCAATTTATCTACTCGTTTTATTACCATTCACACAGTATTAACATAAAATATTGTTTAAGTAATGGTTAGTAAATGGGTTGGAGATGCATTTGGAAAAGAGGGAATTTATGACGGGTGGATTCGTATCAACGAATATCCATTCTTAGATAGCAAAGAAGAATATATATATAACACATTGGCCTCGGATGTGATGACGCTGGTGGAAGATCTAATGGTGATCACATCCACCGGGCACACATTAGATAGTTTAGGTAGGTTGCAGTATTTTATGATATCCAACTGATTTATATTATAGAGACTATTGTTCTTTAATGTGATCCTTTTAAATATATGTATATGTAGAGGAATTGCTCAACGATACCGACTATAAAGGATTTCCTGTAGTACATAATCCCAGAGATATGTTACTTATAGGTTATATATCAAGATCTGAACTGAGATTTGCAATGGGTAAGAATCCTACAATGACTTTTGGGAGGCTTTATTTCCTATTAATGCCCTTTCGGCGTTTCCAGAAAAAGTGAAAAGAAAAGAGATATCGAATTCAGCCCCTTGCTATTTTTCCAGCAATCTCCCAATTCTTGATTCCACAAT